GGTGTTTCCTGTTCATATGTATATATTTACTTTGATCATAGTTTAGAAACCAGCGCTTCCACGCTAAGATTTATGATAAAAATAAAATAATTTGCATTGTGAACTATCGTCGAAAGTTTTAAATCTCATAAAAAAGGTCTTCCATACAACGGAAAAAGGCTTTTGTGTTCTTTTTGGGTGAACGAAGACCCAAACGGGCCGAGGGAGGCTGCGTGGCAGGGCCCCGGGAAGCACCTCTTTGCCGGAGGCCTGTGACGGCGCAGAGCCACCACCTCCCCGCGGGCTCCAGGCTCAGCTGCCTTCTCCCCCGGCTCCTCCAAGATGCTTAAGGCTGCTCGGCCGCCGTCGCCTGGTCCTTGGCAGCAGCGACAAGCTCTGCGAGGGCTGGAAAGCTTCTCAAGTCCTCCGTTCGCAGGCCCATGTTTTGTATCTGCAGGGGCCCCGAGAATGAATCAAGTTACTGTGACGTAAGCTCAACGGGGGAAAAAGACCTTTACAGAAAAGAAAGCAAAATATCCACCCTCGCCTCCCCCTCGACTAAGCCAGAAAAAGGCAGTTCCCTAAAGACCGCAGGATGTTGTTTCCTTTCAAGTAAATGAAGTAAAAAAACTTGACTTGTTGTAAAACTTTACTTTTGGGGGGCGGGGGGGCCAGCCCAAGAAGCCAGTGCCAATTTGTCTCAGTTCACTCAATCAGACTCTCACCAGGATGACGGCTCCTTCTGCGGACTAGAAAAGGCAATTCGCACTGAAAGAATTAAAGTGAAGGACTTTTCTTAAGAGAATTTTCAAAAAAAAGGATTGGCCTGAGCTCTTAATTTCTTAACATGTCATCAGCAACTGTTTCTTAGAAACTGATGAACTGGAAAACCCTCTGGCACCGCAACGACTGCGGGTTACTCCGGAGGCCCGGCACGCCGTGTTCTTCCCACTTCGGTGTAACAACAAAAAACAACATGTGCGCATGCCCGGGACGAGTGGGTCCGGGAAACCCAGACCGGCGCTCGGAGCCCGCGGGGAGCCGCGCTGCGCCAGGGCCGGGTCGGCCCCGCCCCTTCCTTCCCCTCCCCATTCCGCTTATTTTCTCTCCACGTGTCTATGATAAACTTTCCTGCCTGTAAAAAGCCTTCAAGTTTCTCTTGTGAAATAAACAAGGCCAGAATGTTTCTCTAAAGTCACCCGAAAGCAGGAAAAGTTAGATTTTCAGGGATGAGCCTGAACGGTAAACAAGAGCTGAGCTGCCGGAAAACCGAACACCTTCTGACGGGGGCGTTGCGGCGTCACGTCTTTCCTCCAGCTCCAGGGCCCTCCCCGAGGATCTCCTGCTACAGGAAATCCGAGCAGGTTGGAGAGCAGCTTCTGAACACCCAAACGCTCTGTGACACTCGCGAGGACGGAAGGCCCTGGTGTGACCCACACCTGCCCTTACGGAATGGTATGTGCAGGCATGTTCACCATACGCCATGACTCCAAAATCTGTGTTTTCTAGAAAACCTACAGAACCCAGGCAAGGAAGCAAAGAGGCTGGGCTCAGATGGTCCCTCAGGCACCACACTGAGAAGCCAACGGGCTGGTTCTAGCTGCTCTGAGCCACACTAACAAGCATCTCAAAAGACCCTGGTGTGGCACCAATGATGTATCACGCACTTTCTAGACAGTGGACCAAAGGACCCCGTCTCTGGGGGCTCGCGCTCCAGCGGGCCTTGGGAACGCCAGGTGGATGTCAGCCACTCCAGCGGTCAATTTGCTAGACTCAAACAGCCCATCTTTAGTGCTCTGTTTCCTTTCTCATCATTGCGAGGTGCATATCCTTCCCCTGCAGGTATTCTGGGCTCCCGGCCCTCTCTCCTCGCACCCAGGGAGCAGGCGCCCCGGCCCCTCCCAGCACCGCTGGGCTCAGTGAACCGCCAGGGTCTGCGGGGTTACCTGCTCTCCCAGGTACCCCACATCCAAGGCCAGCTGCAGCCTGATTTTATCGTCGTCGCTCATGCCACCGCCCGCGGGCCCGGCGGGGTTGGTGGGGGCGCTTCTCCTGGCTTGTTTCAGCCTCTTCAGGCTCTCCTCCATCTTCCTCACAGAGCTCAGGACGTCCGACACGGTCTCGTAGTACCTTGAGCAAGAGACACACAGATGGGGGAAGAGAAGTGTGGGTGCAGCAGCAAATGCACTGACTGGCTTTGTGGACCAAAAAAGGGATTTTTAAGATAAAAATTCATTTCTGATTGAAAAAAAAATCAGTCATGGTAAATACCGTTTCTTAAGATTGAAAGAAAAACAGGGTCTTGACTGGCACTGTATCCCCTCAGAACTGAAGAACTATGTACATGAATTTCGTTTAAACTTTCAGTCCTGAGCACTAAGAGGAAATCACGTATCATATATACTGCGGCTCATCCCCCAAATGCAAGCAGCAAATTCACTTACGATCACTTCCAGGAACAGTTCATCTTTTACACAGTAAATATATTTCCAAAATTTTAAATGGAACTAATTGCCCTTAAAATATTCTCAATATAATTTTCAAATTATATTTCAAATGTTATATTTCAAATGTTTACAAGCTGGTTACTGGGCCTTTAGAACACATCTGCCCACAGAAACAGCAGTATAATTCATTGTTATGTTCTAAATTAACTCACAAATGCTGCTTAACTCATTAGTAATTGAAAGAAATAAAAGGCTACAGTAAAATTAATAACTAAATAAAATCCAACAACCAAGTCAAATAATATAATTTTTGACATAACTCGATGCTGGATTTGAGGGAAGTAGACTGAATTACAAACGAAGAGACACTGAACCGCGGTGACTCTGAAAAGCTCCGCTAGTCTCGTTAGTTTTCAGATGTTAGACTGATCCTACACTTCACGTTTTCTCTTCCTTGATGACACTGGTCTCACCAACCCAAGTCCGCTGATGACCTGGCTGAGCCGAGACATCATGGACTGATGGAGCGAGGGGAGAGAGGACCCGAGAGGAGGACACGCGCCTGGGCCCGCGGAACGTGCCCGCCCGCAGCGGCATCAGGACAGTCAGGGGCAGAGGACCCAGCTGCGGCCTGACGTTCTCACCACCTTGCTCACAGGTGACCTCTGCCGGTCCTAGCGATCTCTGCCTTCGGGCTTTTCTAAGGAAGTCCAACAGTCCACTTTTAAGTTACTTACTTATGAGTGCTTTCAGAGAGTGCGCCTTTCAACCACTGCTGAATGATGGCTTGTTTGAGCTTATCCTTGTGTCCACTCTGGAGCTGGTGGAGCGGCTTCAGAGCACTGTCCACGTAAGAGGACGCTGTGGTTGGCACCTCCTGGAATGATGTGGGTAGGGGTTAAGGATGAACAGGAAAAAAAAAGATAAGTTACTCAAACCTCAAGTTCAAAAGGACATGACCGATGTACCAATTTGAGACACACATGACCTCCACCCCCGCCCCGAAGTAACACTGGTGTAGTCTAGAGAAAGACCCCTGGGGACCAAGAGGGAGAGGAGGGCTACGGGGGACGACGCCCGATGAGCTGGGCTCGGGTGCGGGCCCAGCTCGGGTGCCTGGCGTGCTGCAGCCCCGAGCCTCCTGGCCACACCACTCGCCCGGCCGGCTTGTTAATTCCGGGCCCAGCTCTGCGTGTGTGTGGGGAGGGGGCGGTGGGGCTGGGTTTTGAGATGGTGTATTTCTGACGAGCTCCCACCAGTGACCAACTGCTCTGGTCAACAGACCATTCACCGCTGGAGAAGCGAGGATCTAGGGCAAGTCATTGACTTTTCTTAGCTCTGGTTTCCTTGTCGGTAAGTCAGGACACTGGCACCCACTGTGTAGGACTAATGAGAGTGTGAAGTGTTCAGCACAGGGTCTGACCCACAGTGCAAATGCTCGGTAAATATATTATAACACCCTGTTGAAGAGAGAGGGCAAGGTGGTAGACCACTAAAGGAAAAGTAATGAATTCGGCAAAATAAAATAGGTCTGCCTCCCATTCAGGACAGAAAGAAAATCAGGAGATAAGGTACTCTTGCTAGAAGTGGTCATTTTACTGCAGCAACATGGTTGGACCTGGAGATCGTTATTCTAAGTGAAGGAAGCCAGAAAGAGAAAGAAAAATACCATATGAGATCACTCATACATGGAATCTTTAAAAAAAAAAAAGACAAATGAACTTATTTACAAAACAGAAACAGACTCACAGACATAGAAAAGAAATTTATGGTTACCAGGGGAGGAAGAGGGAGGGGAAGGGATGAACTGGGAGATTTGCAGATACTAACCACTATATATAAAATAGATAAACAACAAGTTCATACTGCAGAGCACAGGGAACTATATTCCATACCTTGTAGTAACTTATGGTGAAAAAGACTGAAAACGAATATATGTATATTCATGGATGACTGGAGCATTGTGCTGCACGCCAGAAACTGATACACTGTAACTGATTATACTTCAATAAAAAATATATATACAAAAAAAAGATAGATCATGCTAATACTACAAATAAATAGATCAGAAAATTAAAAATACATGCACACAAAGAAAAAGCAAATTTAAGGAATGCATATGCTGCAAAATGATAGTGTGAAGGTTTAATTAACATGAGGGATAACCTTATGAATGTGTGTGAGGCATAAGGAAATGGGAAGAGGAGAAAAAAAAAAAAGTGGTCATTCTACTGCGGGTCCCAGGTTTTAAAGGGAAACGGAGAACAGCCACGGAGGAGATGCGCTCAGTCTCAGCGCAGCCCTCATTCTCCTGCCTCCAGGGCACGGGGCCGGGTGGGAAGAGCGACAGGACCGAGACCGGCCCCAGGGCGTGCACCACGAAGAGGGCCCTGCAGCAGGCACGTCTGCGGGAACTCCAGGATGCGCCAACAGCACGGCGCCTTAGGAGATTTCACAGTTCCTGAGGATGATTTTAGTGGTAAGCTGCCCAAGATCCAACTATACAACTGGGAGAAAAGAACCCTGGAAGGAAAATAAGTGAGATCGAGCAAGAAGGAAACGAGCACAAGTTATGAAAAGGAGCGCTCAACAGGGACAACTGAAACACTGGTGAAAACACCCCCCGATCACTGCGCTATGAAGTGGGGACACAGGGGGATTTGACTCTGACCACCAGGGTGGGCTTAAGTTTTCATCTTATAAATGCCTTTAATACTTCTTAACGTAGATTTTCAAACCAGTAAAAGACAGGAGAAAGCAGGTACTTCAATGACAATATGAAAGAAACAAGGTAAATTCACATTTTTTCAAATATAAGATATGAAGACCAAAACAAAGGCAGGACGAAATACTCTATTACATGATGCTTTCTTTGAAAATATGATCTTTCCTCAAGGGCAGAAGAATCCAGAAGACGTCCATACTGCCCAAGTCCCACGACCTGAGTTACGTTTGCCCCAGGCACGTGGACGTCCATCGGAGGAGCGTCCTCCTCACAAATGCGGCGTCTCTGAATGAGGCCAATTCTCTCCCTGCGGGACTACACCTGTCCCTCGCTCAACCGTTCCCTCCCCTTTGGCTTTTCTCATCTATGTATTTCCCCACCTCAAAATTCTTTTCCAGTGCTATACGGAAGAAATTTGTGTTTTTAATCTATTTTTATATATAGTTGTTAACTATATTCAGTGTCTTGTAATGATCTTTAATGAAGAATATGAAAATGAACATACGTGTATGCATGACTGGGACACGGTGCTGTACAGCAGAGACGGACACACTGTAACTGACTGTAGTTCAATTACAAAGCACTCTCTTCCATGAATGGCACTGACCTTATTGGTTCTTCGGTAAAGCCTGGGAACCTCCAGGGCACTTTTCAGGTAACTGAAGCAAGACTCACTCAAGTCCTGGATGATCCTGCTACTCAAGGCAGGCAGGCAGGCGGACAGAGCCAGCTGGGAGTCCTCCAGGGCTGCTGCTGAGACGTAAAGACATGGTCAGTCACTCCGCTCAGGCCCAGGCGGGAATTCTATTTTAAATACTGTCATGGCATTTAGAGAATCACTATAATAAATCACATCAAATCACTAGAACTCAACAAAATGTCTCATTCAGGGAAGCTATAATCACAGAACAGAATACAGAACCAACCAAAGGATTTCCAACTAGAGAGGAAAATGGTTAGTTAAGATATAGCCTCAAGTCTCTAAAATTCTATTTTAAATTATTTCTCATTCAAAGAGTTGCTGAATCTAATGATTCATTTTTACCTGAGATAGAAGAAAAATTCTTAAAGCCAATCATTTCAAGTTTTGGCTTGATTGTTTCCAAGAGTTCTGGAAGCTGAAATAAACAAGCACTTTATATATTCAGTTACCTTTTAAAAATCAAAGAGGTGATTCGATTTGCATCTACAAACTCTGAAATATTAATGAATGATGAAAACAGGACTTTCAGTAATTTTCATCAGAAGCGAACAAAAATTCTTAATTAATACTTTCACTATGAAAGACACCAACAACATGGGTTGAAACAGCATTTTCATGGCTACTAACAGACCCACAGAACATGCAAAATCATTTTCTACTCTGTAGCTCTTCCC